TACTTGGGTCAACTTTAAATGATCATATATCTTAGCACGTGAATTAGGTGGTCCATGACCTATCAAATCAAATGTCTTAGAGTCCTCTTTCCAACGCCGCCAAATTCTTAATTTCGAGCTCAGAGTAAAAAGTTATGGTCATTTTGGTGAAGCCACTCTTTTAAGACATCTAAATAGCTTTTATAGGGGTAGTTTGGTCTTTTCCTTCCAAACCTATGTCATGTTTTATTCAGAAAAATAAGGGTCTAATCAGCATAAACCATGTTTTCACATTCCTTGAAACATTGAGAAATTAGAACAAAGTTTTAAGAGGAGAAAAACTAGGTTTAAAACATCTTCAAGTTTACAACGATTTTCGCCATGAACCATTGTTCTTTCTAAGTATGTTAGACTTCTCACAGTGATGTACCTGCTCGTCCTCACGCCTTATATCTCAATTTAGTCAAGAAATCATTATAGTTAAAGGATTTATTTATAGTTCGTAATTTTTAGTTTAATTCTTTTACAATAGAGTTTTTGATTCTTTTATGTTGCGAACCTTTTGTAAAAGATATGTTTTAAGAGATTGTATGAAAGTTCTCATGTAATCGTATTGAGTTTGATAATCAAGAAGAGTTCAGGAAAAATTTCCCAATTCTAAAGTAAGTTGGGATCCTAATTTAAGCTTCAAATTTGTTGCGTGCCTGGGCGGCGCACAATGATAGCACAAAGACTGAACTTCAATAGTTCAAGGACTGGCGCGGTGTGGCAGCAGTACACCAAGGCATAACTTCTGAAGTTCAGGCCCTGGAGCGACATGGCAACAATACGCCAAGGAGTTCTGGCCAATCTTTCCTTATTTCATCTTGCACCTGTTTCATTAAGTTGTGGCTATGTTTCCCTTCCCTGTATTAGTTTGTATCTGCTCCATTTACCTTTGTGAATTCCAACATATCCGAATCACATGCCTACGTTCAAAACACTACAAAAAAGGTTCGTTTTGTAGAGGTTCTTTTTTATCGATTTGTGGGAGTTTTTGACCCACACAAAATTAATTGAGGCGGTTTTAGAAACTTTCACAATTACCTATTCCACAAGCATATTTGTTTACTATAACCTCCATTAAGTCCGCCACAAAATGAATTTTCAATTTGTGGTAATTTGTAACCCCTCAAAAATGATTTTAGAACTTTAATAACTACACTCTACAAAGGGTTTACAACCCGCAATATAGTCTCAATATCTTATTTAATTCTTTTGAAATGGTTTTTGTCATTTTTTAAAATTATTTTTTGCCCTCCCTAGAAGGTCTCACCCATTTGCTACTTCGGTGACTCGAACTCGCAACCTAACAAAATTGAGTTCTATCATTTATAACATAAACTACATTTAAAATATTCAAGTTACAAAACAACATAAATCTTAATTTATGAAAAGTTGACACACTTAGTAACTATGTTTGATAACTTAAAGTTTAAAACTTTAACAAGTGATTTCACATCAAACAAATTGAAAAAAAAAAAGGTAATACAGTAATTTGAGTTTATTATTTTTATTTCATATTTTCTTTCATCACAACAACACCATATATTCTTATAACATAATAATATTTTGTTGATATATAATATTAGATGAATTTCACATTTTAATAAATTTATATTCATTAATTTGTAGATAAAAACAAATTTATACATTTATATGTAAAAATAATCTTAACTACATAGTAATTGGGTCTTAATAGAACATCCTATTATTCAAAAACATGTACTTGAAGTCAATTATTAAAATTTAAACGCACAACTTAATTATATTCATATTTTAACATCTTAATCTTATTAAAAATAAATGATACCTATATCATCTCTCAAATGATTTCCCATTTTAAAGTCAATACGTGCTACTAGTACCTTATGGTAAAGATTGTTATTTTTTAATCTTACCTAATCTTGTATGACTGCATATCCAACATCCACTTCTCTGAAATATTCATCTCATGGAAATATGTTAAACTTTATCGACCTAGTGCTTATTATCTTATTTTTGTCATCATATAAATTTACCTTTTACTTTAGTGTGTTGCTGTCTATGTGTATGTGTGTGTGTATATGTATATTCAATAAATTTTTTATTTTAACTATTCAATTACATATTATAGGAGTAACATTTTTATTTATTATTTCATTTTCTCGAAAGAATGAACCTAAATATCTAAATTGTTTATACATGGACACCGCAATTTAATTTACAACTTAATTTTCTCTTCTCGTGCTAATTAAACATACAATGCATATAATCAGTTATATTTCTACTTTCCATGATTACCTTATTTTTTATATTTCAACTTTTTTGATTTATTTCCTATTTTGTACAAGTGTAACAAATGCTAATGAAATGTGGCATTTACCAAGCTTCACAATTTGATATAATTAGCAGAGGTTATCACAAGCCTCCTCAATAAAGCCGCTACAAATTATAATAAATTGTGGTTCACAAAACATCGCAATTGGTGCAATTTGAAGAGATTAATCATAAGCCTCAACAATATAACCATCACAAAATATATTATATTGCAAGGGTTAAAATAAACGCTACAAAATGATTTTATAGCGGAGTTTTTTAAAACCCCACAAATAAACCTCTGAAAATTAGCCTGTTTTTTCTAATGAAACTAATGTGAGTTCAAGAGAAAAGTTCAAGAGCCTTTATTGATTTGATTTTGAGTTCTTGAGTTCCTATTATTTTTAAATTCTATTCTTGATTATCGTTGAGTTTTAAGTATTGAGCTTTCTATATTTTTATTGAGATCCTTGAATTGATTCGTTCATGTCTATATTTCAGCATGAATCCTATTTTGAGTAATAATTAGGAGTTTGATAGAGAGTACAAGGGAACTAGGTAGTTCCCAAATGTTTAATTTTTGCATGAAGAAAAAGTGTATTATTATAAAAGAGAAAAACTTTGATTTCTTAATGAGTTCATGAGTTCAGAGATATTTCAGAGCAGTTACCACTTTTAAAAGGATAGTTTGAGTAATTATTTTAAAATAGAGAAAGAGTATGTATTATACAGTTGAGCATGATTATATATATGTATTATTGGGAGTATATTGAGCAACAATATGGGGATAAGTTCAGACAACTCAAAGTCTCATAAACCATGCATGCCAACATTATTAAATGATCATAATTTTTATATAACTCATTATTACTTTCAGGCATAGCTTAGTAGATCCATTTAGAAGAGATTTTCTATATCCCAACAAGGAATAGGACAGTTCTGGCAGCGTGGGTGAGACGAAGTATCATCACATAACTCATAGTCATGGTTGTTGGTTAGAGAATCTCCAAAATAGAGTTAAGGCTTATATTTATATATCATTTATTACGTTGAATTTCATAGATGAGTAAGCATTTTTGTAAAGTTCAAATGATTTTATTATTTTTAATCCTTTACATTTTGTTGAGTTCATGTTTTATCTATTGCAGTTCTTTCATTTAGTTATTTTAACTTATGGTTATATCACATACTCGTACATTTAAATTTTTTAATGTCATTCGACCTACATCATTATGTGATGAGGTTAGGTTCATCGGGATCATTAACAAGCATTTCATTAAGATCAATCTACACTCCTGTTAGTTTTTGGTGAGCCTCCTTGTATTTCGGAGGACGTCACAATTACTTTCAGTTTAGTTGTTTTTGATGCATTGTGGGTCTTCTCTCAATACCTATCTTAAACATTACAGGCTTCATATATAAATTAATTCAAGGAGTCTTTAAGTATGTAGTCTCTTCTTTGAGATGTTTTTGCAAACTATTATACCATTATTATTGAGTATTTTACAGGCAATTTGAGTTGAGTATATACTTTGAGTTTAAATGGTCCAAAATTCATTTTAAGACTTTTAAGTCTTCCTCTAAGTATTTGTCCATGCCAAGAGTTTGCTTAGGGACCAAAAATGATTCTCGAGTGTTGGTCATGTCTAGGATGTAGGCTCGAGGTGTGACTGTTTTAGCGAAAAAGGGAAATATTTGATTTTGAAGAGTTCTCGACTTTAAAGAGTCGCCACTTAATTTTTAAGGAAAATTAAGAAAACTATTGTTTTCAAATAACTTAACATAGAAAGATTGTTTGAAAACGCAAAGGGGTTCGGGGATTTAAATTAATATTTTAGAAAGGTGTTAAGCACCTAAAACATCCGCTTAATTGCGGTTATCCGACAACTAACTAAATTTGGCTAGAAATGCTTAACTTTATTTTGAATTGAAATATTGGTCTATACTATTTAAACCGCGAAATTAACTTAATTTTTTTATGTCTTTTAAGATTGATCAATTTAATTTAAACCCTTAAAACATAGTGGCGCCTTGCAAGAATTTGCAAATCTCTAATCTTAATACTAGCGTCAGTCAAAAAAAAAAAATATACGAGGAAGTAAGGAAAAAGAGAGATACAGAGAGAGAGAGGGGGGGAAGGTTGGGTCCAAACCGGGTTCTGTTCGCCTGGACCGGAATTCGGATCCGCCTATTTTAGGGTTTTGACCCATTTCAACATTTCGTACCTGTCCTAAGTTCTAAACAATAAGAACTACAAAATAAATGCAGAGAATAGAAAAGCTACTACGGGTTTGTGCCCCCCAAATAGATATAATGCGATAAAAAAATAATAAATAAATTGGCCTCTATTGGCCCAACTTCCTCGACTATTTTCAATTCTTGACATTTGGATATGTACGCCGGTGTCGTGGGCTTGACGCGAACGAAAGGAATTTTGAGCCTTTATGGCTCTCTCAAAAATGCAAAGTGAGGGGAAGTGGGAGTTCATGGTGAACTCGATGCCAAATTTACATGCGACATTAAAACAAAATGAGTAAGCACGTGAACTTTAATTCAAATGTGCAAGAAGGAGTCGCAAATATTAAACTCACATGTTAAGGAACTTTATTCAAACAATGCAAAGCAAGAACTGAAGACTAGAAACAGTCTTAAACTTATTTTGAGACCTTAAATGATGGAAGATGTAATTAAAAAAATTGAGATTTTTATTTGAGATAGTCAAGCAAAGGTCAACTTGTGATCAGATGGCTTTGAATAAACCCAATGCATCCATTGATAATTAAACAACAAACATTTTCAAAAGGAATAAGCGTATGCCAGTGACGGAGAACAACCAAATATAAATAGGCGAAACCTCTTTCCTTATCGCGCCACCTAATATGATCTTCTTCTGAGCAGCGTTCCGGGAACTCGTTAAGCAGGGAGACGACCAACTTCTAAACTGAAGAACAACTCCGAAACAAACTCCAATGAACAAGGTAAAAATCGAGGGGAACAAATACTGAACCAAAATTTTTCAATGAAAACTTTGGCCTGAATGTCTCTCTCTTTGAACCCTTGTCTAACTCTCTTTTTATCTGTCTAGTATTACAATCGTATTTAAAAAAAAAAACCTTCTGACTTCAAAATCTCTAACAATTTTTCGCTCAAAATTTTTCTGCCCCCTTGAAATTTTAAGAAAGATATCTTAAATAGGAAGCGAATTAGGGTTCAATAAAAGGGGGGGAGGGTAGAATCAGAAGGGGAAAGGACTACTTTCGAATTTCAAAAACCAAACCCTTACCATTATAGGATGAACAACCTTTTTGCCAAAAATCGTCCCATTCTAGAACAGGATTAGGAGAATCAACACCCCAAAATTCTTCAATAATCCTTGCTATGCCACGCGGCTCAATCCCAAGGCGCAAGGATGATTTCGCATGCTGGGGAGGACAAGACAGCAACGGGAATCGCAAGAAAAATCTGTGCAAAATTGTACTTCCAGCAAGGGGACGTGTCTTTCGTCTTTGGAGCGTCGTTCACGCCTTGGTGTGAGGTGCGTACAAGTCCCTTTTGAGGTTTCTGATACTGTCCTGTCTCTGAAAATTCTGGGTTCCTTTTGAAGTCCAGTTGAAGATGAAGGAATGGTGTTTGGGTCGGGTCAAACTGCTGGGATGCAGACAAAAGTGGGCCTAAAGTGGGATGGGCTTTTTTATAGGGCTGATTAATGCTGCGATATTGGGCAGAATTAAATATTGGGCTGGAAAGAAGTGGTCCAAAATTGGCCCTTTAAAACTTCGTAAAAATAATAAATTAGCAAATTTGAAACTAATCAACCGAACTTTGAATAGGCGAAATAACACAACTAATTTACGAGCTTCTTAAATCTTAACGACAAGAAATAATTAACTTAATCATAAACTAATGATTCAACATATAACTATAATTTTGATCAAACTTACCAAAAATTAAAATATTCTGATATGATGCTTGGCAATTTAAAAATTAAATTAATTACGTACAAAAATCCGTATTATTTAAAATTATGAAAAAGTATAAAGCTTATTTTAAGTATCTCACAAATTTC